CCAAAAGTGGGAATTCGTGAGACCAAGTAGCAAACGTAAGAAGCCCTGTGTACTGGCTTTTCTTGCCAGCAAAACTTCACAAAGCCCCAGTGTCTCACATCTCAGCTCTCCAGAGATGGTTTTGAGACAAAACAAGACAGAGCACATGGCCCCTGATGTCTCTTGCCTGAGTCACCACATTCTTTAAAAGATAAACGATGCTAGTCCTTGCCTTTTCCTGCACACAAGATAATGTCTTACAGGGCGAGTGATGACGCCTCCGCGGTCTACAACCAGATGTGCTCCTGCCCCCAAACCTGGATGGGATTCTGCTTCGATGCAGCTTCTGAGCCAGTTTGATGTGATCTGCACGTGCTGACCTCCCACCACCTGCATATGAACTGTGAGCTGAAACAGGGCGCCTCTGACAGAGCTGCCCCGGGCTGGTGTGAGCTGAAACAGGGCGCCGAGCCTCTGACAGAGCTGCCCCCGGGCTAGAAACCTTACTCTTCTATAGTCCTCGGTAAAACTTCTGAGTAAAGCTCACTTTAATTCCTTAAAAGCTTGATTTGTTGTTTATCAACACCGCAAACCTCTTTCCCATCCAGTTGGATGAAGGAGTAGCTATCGATTTAAATTCAGTTTAATATTTTAATTTCTTGACAAGAGTAGGTTGCACATACCAGCTAATACGCAGAAGGCCTATTTTACCTAAAATGGATCAAACTACAAAATTAGTGATTTGTCCTCAATCTCACCCAGAAGAGAGTAAGAACTGACCTCATAAATTTAAGGAACAAAGTGGGACAAAAGGAAGCCTGATGTGACTGGGGTTGGGGGTTCGCATCAGGCCAAACTCAGGAGCGCGGCCCTCTAGCCCAAGAGGGTGCTGTTGAGAGGTTCCTCACCAGGCCTAACAGTCACCTGGTACCTGCGCCTTCTCTGCAGGGAAGGAACTTTCCAGAATCCTGGGGAAGAAACCTCCTGAGGAAGGAGTGTGACAAAGATGCTGAGGAGAAGGCATCACACAGACTCAGGTGAGCACTCAGCGCCTGGTATTGATGAGATATTTGCAAGAGACCCAGCGTCAGACAGTGCAGAGGACCCTGTGGATGACCCAGGCTGAGAACCTGGGGAAACTGTAGAAAGGCGCATGGACTCACTGGTCAGGATCCTGTGACCGTGCTGCAAAGGAGGCAGGTGGTCTGGTCAGGTGACGAAAGTCTGCTGTGAGAGGATGTGGGGACTGCCTGGCAGGAGTTCAGAGAGCCTGCTGGCTTCTGACCTCACACCTACAAGGGTCCTAGGAGGCCACTCACTCAGCAGCAGGTGGGGGTGCTGCAGGTGACCAGTCTATAGACCAGGGTGGGGCAGGAGGGCTGGCAGCACCCGGAGGTTGGGCAGAAGGAGGCCACACACAAAACAGGCTTGCAGCTCACAGACACACAGCAGGCCACCTGACAGGGGCTGGGCACACAGCAGGCCAGCTGGCAGCAGGTGGACACCCCACACAGGGGCCGGCACAGCAGAATCACACAGGGGGCTGAGCAGCAGCAGGAGGTCCCACAGCCCTGGGGTGGGTAGCAGGTGCTGGGGACGCAGCATGGGGAGCCAGGGCAGGCCATCGGGCAGCCTGAAGAGCAGCTGGTGTGGCACATGATGGGGTGTGGACAGGTGGGGGGCACAGAGGACAGGGCTGGTCTGGAGCCTGCTTCCTTGGGTGGCCTTTATACCCAGGCCACCGGCATCCTGGCAACAAGTCCCCTGGCATCTTCCTCGTGGGTGGTTTCTCCTCCTCTGCCCTCTCCGGTTGATCTTTCTGTGTTTTCCTGTTGAGGTTACTTAGCTTAGGAAACTCTTTCAGCTGGGGGAGCCCTATCATTCAGCAGACTGTGTGTTTCCTGGAAACAGAGCCAAGGGTAGCTGATGAAGGGCTGTCAGTGAGGCCAGGGGCCCACCTCATGGATGTCCAGGGTCCCCCTGTTGTAAATACTGTCTGGAACTCACAAAAGCACAGTCACACTCACTGCACCAGGGGCCCCGTTTCGACTGAGAAGTTCAGTCATCATCAGGGTCTTCCCGAGTAACGAGAGCCAAGCTACTGGGCTCCATATTGTGGAATAATAATGATGATTATTGGGGGAACAATAATGCACAGAGGTCTAGCGCTGTGCCAGGCTGTGATTGGCATCTTACGGGGTTATCTCATTCATCTTTGCCAGCATTTGGGGTGGCCGATACCCCATTTTACAGATCATGCAAGTCCTAGATCATTTGCATGATGGGTGCGTGTCCGCGCCACTGCAGAGACGCAGGCATCTGGACTGCTTAGTTTCACTCTGGAATCCGTGGTCGTTCCCACTGTGCCAAATTATATTGGTCTCAGGGTTCAATACGTGACTCATCCTGAAGTCCTGAACCAGCTGGGACGGAGAAGATGGATGAAAACATCGGCCACGTCAGCCTCTGCAGAGCATGGCTCAGGCGTGTGACCACAGTGGGCTTCCTGACACCACACCTCAGAAGTGCCCACTTCACACGAGAAGCACTAGTGGCCACAGGCCACCTCCTCTGCAGACGGAGCCCAGGAGGACCCATCACGGAGGGGGTCTGAGCTACTCCTGTCTGGTTCCTCTCCCACGCTGAGGGTCTGATCAGTCTCACCACTGCAGAGGCAGCGTGGGGGAAAGTGAGGAGCTGGGGTGAAATTCCAGGATGCCCCCGCACTTGGGAAGCAGCGGGCAGGACTGTGGATGGCACGTTCCTCCTCACACTCCAGCTCTGTTCTCTTGACGGATTGACCACAGCGCTTTATTCTACGGTGGTGTCACACAGTAGGGGATGAGCCGTCTCTCAGGGCAGAGCTACTCCCTCCATCCCAGGCAGCTCCCAGGGGCACCCTCTGCTCCTGTGTGGGTCCTCCTGTGCCTGCTGGTGGTGGATACAGGTGATTCCTGCCACAGAGCCTTTGGACAACTCAGACACCACGTTAATGAAATCCCCTCACAGGCTGAAGACCAAGTGGGGTCTCACAGCTGTGGACAGAACTTACAAGTCTACGGATCCAGAGCTGATCGGTGGCCATGTGGTGGGAGTGACTTTAAGGCCTAGGGACAAGCCGGGTGAGGCCACAAGTTCAGTCCTGTCACAAGCAACTCCTTTCACTGCTATAGTTCATTATCACACTTAAAAACCAAGAGAATTGGGGCAGCCACGGTGATCACATGTTCCTATGGGACCTAGTCACCAAGTAACTCATTTTAAAGGTTAGTTGTCTTACAAGTAGATTACAGAAGAACAAAGATGCATCTTTGATATTTACCTGTTCTTTACCTTCCCCCATGCCCTCTACTCCTTCCTGCAGGTCAGGGTCCACCTGGCCTCGTCCTAGTCAACCTAAAGCACATCCGTGCACGTTGCCTGCAGCGCGCATCTGCAGGGGAGGATTTCTCCCAGCTTTTGCTCTTCTGAACAGGTTTTTACCTCAACATGTTTTGAAGGATTTTTTTCATAGGTATAGAATTCTGGGTTGGCAAATTTTCTCCCAGAATTTTAAAGAAGTTGCTCCATTGTCTTCTGGCCTCCACTGTTTTTGCTGAGAAGTGAGGGATTTTCTCATCCTTTCAAGAACCTTGTACCTTGTATGAAAAGTGCCTTTTCTTCTCACTGTCTTCAATATTTTTTTGATTTTTGGTTTTCATCACTTTTACTATTTGATGCTTGGATATGGCTTTCTTTGTATTGGTCCTCCTACAGGTTTCTGAGATTCTTGGGTCTGTAAGTTGTTATTTTTTAAATTATATTTGGTGCCTTGGGCCATTATTTTTTTCAAAACTTATTTATGGTTCAGCATCACTCTCTTCTCTTTCTGAGGTTGAAATTTCTAGTTTGTTAGACAGTTCAGTACTGTCTCATACGTCTTTTCATTTTTCTTCATTCTTTCTCCTCTTCGAGACAGGATAATTTCTACTGGTGTGTCTTCAGGTTCACTGATTCTTTTTCCATCCAACTTCTAACCCCAAACCCCAGACCCCCTAGCATGGGATTTTGATGCTTGGTTCTTGAGTCCTCATGATCTGACCAGTTTTCCTGCACCCATGGCCCGATACCCAGAGCGCAGGATTCCTGCCTTCCCTGGACATACCGGTTTCTGCAGCAGCATCCTCCCTCTCTCCATGGCCACACTGTCTCCTCACAGAGGCCCCCCCAGACCACCCACTGGCACCCCCATTACTATCTCCTGAACCCATTTTTCCCCGGCACTCAGCCCTGTATGGAATTATTTCATGCATTCATTTCTTCCTTTACTCATTTATTCACTGCCCACCGCTAGAAGGCTCTTGAAGCCAAGACCTCTTTGCTGCTACTACACAATATATATTTGTTGAATGAACAAATAACTTCTTGTACAGATTACTCTATGGCAGGGCTGGCTAACTTTCTGTAAAGGGCAGATGGCAAATATTTTAGGCTTTGCATGTTACTGTCTCTTCCATAACTACTCAGTTGTACCAATGCAGTGCAAAAGAAGCCACAGACAACACATAAACTAATGGCATGCTGTGATCCAATAAAAGTTCATTTGAAAAACAGGCAGTGGGCCAAATTTGGCTCCCAGACCATAGTGTGCCAACCTATGCTTTAAAGTTTTACTCTACAAAATAAAAGCTCAAAACACATTACTGCCTCAACATCTTCCTTGATAGCATGAAACAAAAGTGAACAAACAGGATTTGGTACTTTGAGTCGAGCCAGTGGTGCTATGTGCACAGCAGTAGCCTGAAAAAAATCAACAAAAAACCTGCATAATGTCAAACCAGAACATCCTGTTTACAGAAGAAACTAACCTCAAGGCCAAAGATATTTATGGTAGAGCATAACGCGGGAAAGTACACGCGGCAAAATAAGATGTTGGGAAACACAGTGGCAGCAACCACGAGGAAGACAACAGTCATGTTTTTGTGTTACCCAGATGCCCGGGACCCAGGTATAAAGACCACCAGAGAAGCGGCTTCCAGACATCACCACCCTCCTCCCCAGTACCAGCCCAGCCACACGCCATCATGTGCCAAACCAGCTGCTCCCCAGGCTGCCAGCCAACCTGCTGCATACCCAGCCCCTGCCAGGCATCCTGCTACGTGCCGGTGAGCTGCCAGTCCCCCGTGTGCGTGCCCGTGAGCTGCACACGCATTGTGTGTGTGGCCCCCTCCTGCCAGCCCTCTGTGTGTGTGCCTGTGAGCTGCAGGCCCATCATATATGTGACTCCCTCCTGCCAATCTTCTGGGTGCTGCCAGCCCCCCTGCACCACCGTCCTCTGCAGACCCATCTCCTACAGCGCCCCTTCCTGCTGCTGACCAGCTGCTCCTGGTATACAGGGGTACGCACCTGTATCCCTCCATGAACTAGCATCTGGTGGACCCCCAGACTGTACACATGGGGCAGATGAAAAGCATGCTCAAGGAAACCTCTGAACTTTGGGGTGAGAACATGGAAACATGCTTCAGACCTTCTGTGACCCTGGGAACCTCCTCAAGGAAGTCCTGGCTGCCAGAGTCCTTCTCTCACTCCGGCAGGAAACTAAAACCCATGTGAGCCAAATAAATCAGCTGTCCCTTTACACCTCGTCTCTCTCTTTTATCCTCATGTATTTTGTAAGTTCTTTCCTTGAAGGTACATACCAACTTTAACGGCAGCAGCACCTCTTCAGAGAGCCTCCTTCCTGAAGGCTGAGCTGAAGTGGAGGGTTCTTGGTTGGGGGAGTGGCCCGAAGGTGCTGTCCCCACACTCAGTCCTCAAGCTTCACACTGGGATAGTAAGATGTTGGGAAGCACGGTGGAAACCACCATGAGGAAGACAACTGTTGTGTTTTTATGTTACCCGGATGCCTGGGACCCGGGTATAAAGACCACCAGAGAGAAGCTTCCAGATGGAAAGTGTTAGGGGGAGGGTAGAAGAAAACAATCCTCTACCCAGAAGGAGGGATGGGAAATAGTCCTGGGCCCCAGATCCCATGCAATACCTCAAAGGATTATTATGGCAAAGAGGGCAGGAAACTCTTTCAAACAACAACCACCACAAATACAGAGCAGAGTTCGTCTGTCCCGGGGAGGGGCAGCAGGAAGTCCAAGAAAGTCTTATTCTCCAAGTCCCACATGCAAAGGGCCTGCCTAAGACTGACACTGGACCAGGACAGAGAGCCCTCCTGTCTCCAGCTCCAGCCTAGCAGGCACAGCTCAAAAATCAACATCAGCCTGCCTCTGGGGAAAGGCAGAAGTGTGTAGAGATCTCCTCTGAATGTCAGGCATGCAGGGGCGTGTGAAAACTGAGGGTGGAGCAAATGCACTGACCTCCCCACCCCTCATCTTAAGCGCAAGCACTGATATACCCTAAACGCAAGCCACTGGTGCACTGAAGGCAACCACGGTAACAACAAAACCCAAACCACCATCAATGTCTGACCAGATTGATTCATCCACCTCCCCCTACACACGAATGACCTGACAGAAAAAAAGACACATGCATTTCCAGAAGGAAATGTTGATGTCTGATATTCAATAAAAAATTATAAGACATGCAAAAAAGCAAGGAAAAACCAAGCCATTGTCGGCAAAGAAATCAACAAAACTGGATTCAAAAGTGACCCAAGAACTGGGCTCAGTTCACACCTATAACCCCAGCACATTGGGAGGCTGAGGCTGGAGAGTTGTTTAAGCCTCGTAGTTCAAGGCTGCAGTGAGCTGAGATTGCACCAGCCTGGGTAAAAGAGCAAGACACTATCTCTAAAAATAAAAAGTAAAATGACACAGGTTTACAGCTATCAGGCTGTAACTTTAACTGTAATGAATAGATTAAAGGGTCAAGGATAAAGCATTAAAACCATATATGAAGAGATGGGTAATTTCATGAGACAGATGAAAACTATAAGAAAGGGTCAAGTGGATATGGTAAAATGGTAAAAATCAAAATACAATATCAAAGATGGCTTCCTTCAGTGGGCTCATCAGTATACTTGATACAACCAGGTGTGGAAGCTTAGAATTTGAAGACATGTAAATATAAATTGACCAAATTAAAACACAAAGAGAAAGAGGAGGGTGGAGGAAGACAAGAAAAAAACATCAAAAAGCTCTGGGACAATATCAAATCCTCATTTATGGATGTAATTGGAGTCTCTGAAAGAGAAGAAAGAGAGGGCAGGGCAGAAGAAATATTCAAAGAGGTAACAGCTGAGAAATATTCTAAAAATAATGAAATACATAAAGCCCCATATCCAAAAAGTTCAGAGAACCCCAAATTGGGTAACTATATCCCCACTACAGATGACTAGATGTGTCACAACTATATCCCCACTACAAATGACTAGACGTGCCACATTAAATCTGTGACTGACAAAAACCAAAGGTAAAAAGGGAAATCTTGAAAGCATCCATATTTTAAAAGCAGACTACGAGCATAACGACAAAGGTAAGGTTTACATCAGACTTCTAATCAGAAATCACACGACCCAAAGTACATCTTTAAAATACTGAAAGAAAATCTGTCGACCCCATGACACTAAAAGATGAACAAAAACTGAAAGACTTCATTAACCGCACACATGCACTATAAGAAATTCTTCAAAAATTTCTTCGAGCCAAGGAATATGATAGCAGATAGAAACTTGGATTCACACAAAGAAAAGAAGAGCTCTTGGCTGGGTGCGGTGGTTCACGTCTGTAATCCCAACACTTTGGGAGGCCGAGGTGGGTGGATCACGTAAGGTCAAGAGTTTGAGGCCAGCCTGGCCAACATGGTGAAACCCCGTCTCTATTAAAAATACAAAACTTAGCCAGGCGTGGTGGCGTGCTCTTGTAATCCCAGCTACTTGGGAGGCTAAGGCAGGAGAATTGCTTGAACCCAGGAGGCGGAGGTTGCAGTGAGCCAAGATTGCACCATTGCACTCCAGCCTGGGCAACAGAACAAGACTCTGTCTTGGGGGGAAAGAAAAGAGAGAGAGAAAGAAAAGAAGAGCTCTAGAAATTATTTTAAAAGAAGATAAATATAAAAAGCATTATAACTAATTGACTGTCCAGAGCAAAAATAGTGACAATGCATTGTGGGATTTTTAACATAAGTAAAAGTAAAACATGGCAACAATCACACAAGGAATATAAAAGAGGACATGGAGGTACACTGCCGTAAAGTCCTGCCACTTACAGATGAGGTGGCATCATATCACCCGGAGGCATACTTTGTTACAGTAAAGGTTTATATTGTAAATCTTAGGCCAAATAAGTTTGAAAAGACATATTAGGCTATTATCGCCTTGCTATAAGGAAATACCTGAGACTGAGTAATTTATAAAGGAAGGAGGTTTAATTGGCTCACGGTTCTGCAAGCTGCACAGGAAGCATAATCCTGGCATCTGCTCAGTTTCTGGGGAGGCAGAATTGTGAGCAAACTTACAGGCACGGTGGAAGGTGAAGGGAGAGCAGGCACATCAGTGGCCAGAGCAGGAGCAAGAGAGAAAGACAGGGGAGGGGCCACACGCCTTTAAACAACGAGGTCTCCCAAGAACTCACTCACTGTCTCAAGGACAGCACCAAGGGGATGCTGCTAAACCATTCATGAGAAATCCACCCCCATGATCCAATCACCTCCCACCAGATCCCACCTTCAACGATGGAAATTACAATTCAACATGAGATTTGGGCGGGGACACAAATCCAAACTCTATCAAGATGTATACAAAAAGTAGATATAAAAGGGAAAAACTAAGAATGCTAATCCAAAAAGTGGCATAGAAAGAGGGCAAAGATAAAAAGGAACAGATGGAACAAATAGAATACAAATAGTAAAGTGATATTTTACATTAAGTAGATCAAAAATTAAATTAAATTAAATGCAAATCATCTAAACACCAAAACTAAAAAACAGAGATTTTTAATTAGATTAAATAATTCAGGATCCAACTATATTCTATCTACCAGAAACCTCACATTAAATATAAAAACATAGATAGGTTAAAAGTAAGCAGATGGAAAAATATACCACACAAACATTAATCAAATAAAATTGGAATGGTTATATTAATATCAAACAAAGTCAGCTTCACAAAAGAAATATTACCAGGGATAAAAAGGAATATTACATAATGATAAAGCATCAATTCACCATGGAAACATAACAACTCTAAATGTGTAAGCACCAAACAGCCAACTTTCAAAACACACGCAACAAAAAAACTGAGAAGGTAAAGGAGAAACAAATAAATCAGATTGGTCACTAGACTTCAGCTTCAAGAGAACAAGTAGACAGAAAATCAGGAAGGATACAGAAGGCCTGGACAACACCATCAATCAACTTGACCTAATGGATTTTTATAGAACACTCCACCCAACAATAACAGATACATATTCTTTTCAAACACATGAAACATTCACCAAAAAGACTATATTCTGGCCGTAAAATAAACTTCAACCCATATAAAAAAAGTTGAACTAACACAATGTATGTTCTCTGACCACAAAGAAATTAAATTAGACATTAACAACAAAATGATAACTAGAAACACCCTGCAGAACTGTAAACTAGCCAACACACTTCTAGATAACCCATGGTTCAAAGAAGAATCACAAGAGAAATTAGAAAATATTTTGAATTAAATACAAATTAAAAGAAAACATGTCAAAATATATGGAACATGGCTAAAATGGTGTTTAGAGGGATAAAATTATATCAGTAAGTGCTTAGATTCACAAAGAAGAAAGTCCTGAAATCAGTTATCTAAGTCTGCACTTTAAAGAAAAGAAAGCAAATTAAATTCAAAATTAGCAAAATAAATAATTAAAAATCTGCAAAAAAATAATGAAGTAGAAAATGGAAAAAATTTCAATGAAGCCAAAAGCTGCTTCTTTGAAAAGAACAATGAAATGAATAAGCATCTAGCCAGACCGATCAGGAAAATTATAATAAAAAGAAAGAAGAGACACAAAATAGCAATATTAGGAGTGAAAAAGAGACATCATTACAAATCTTAGAGTTATTAAAAGCATGATAGAGGAACGACGTAAACAACTTCGTACCACTAAATTTAATAATGTACATAAAATTGGCACTTTTTTTTTAAAGTATGAAAGCTTATTCCAGAGAAGTAGGTAGCCTGAATAGTATCATATCTATTAAAGAAGTTGAATTTTCAGTTAAAACCTTTCAACGAACAAAACTAGAGGCAAATGACTTCCCTGGAAAATTCTACCAAACATTTAAAGAAGAAATATAACCAATTCTACATGATCTCTTACAGAAAATGGAAGGAAAGGAATCATTCCTAATTAAATTTATAGGGCCAGCATAATCTTGATATCAAATTTGAACAGAAGTATTACAAGAAAACTATATACTACTAATAATATCTCTTATGGATATAGATGCCAAAATTATCAACGAAATACTAGCAAATTCAAACCAGAAATACGTAAAAGAGATAAAAGGTCGTGATCATGTGGGATTTATCCCAAGAATGCAAGGTTGGTTCAGTGTTAAAAAATCAACTTATATAATTCACCATATCAACAGACTAAAGAGGAAGCACCATATTATTATCTCAATAGATTCAGAAACGGCTTTGGATAAAATTCAACATCCATTCAGAACAAAAACTGTTAGCAAACTAGAAATTAAAAGCAACTTCTTTTAAAGAACATCTGTGAAAACCTATAGCTAATATCATACTTAATGATGAAAGACTGTATGCTTTCCCTTAAAATCAAGAATAAAGCAAGAACATTCGCTTTTGCCTCTGCTGTTTATTACCATACTGGACTTCCCAAACAGTGAAGTAAAAAGCATGCAGGCTGGAAAAGAAGAAATAACACAGTCTCTATTAACATATTATATTATCGTCTACCTAGAAAATCCCCCAAATTCTACAATAAAGCTACAAGAACTAGTAAGTGAATTTAACAAAGTCAAAGAAAAAATGCCAATATACAAAAATCAATTTATTTTAATATACTAGCAATCAACAATCAGAAATTGAAACTTAAAAATAGGACCATAATAGCATTAAACATTATAAAATACTTAGGGGTAAATTATGAGGAAATAAAATATATACAGTGAAAACTACAAAATATTGATGAGAAAAATCAGAGAAAACCTAAATAAATGGACCATGTTATGGATGGCTGGATATGTCAACTCTCCCCCAAACTGATCTACAGTTTCAATACACTCCCAATCAAAATCTCAACACAAATTCTGCAGATATTGATAAGCTTATTCAAATATCTGTATGGAAAGACAAAGAAACTAGAGTAGCCTAAACAACTTCTTAAAAGAAGAACAAAATTGGAGAACTCACACTAGCTGATTTCAAGACCTGCTATAAAGCTGCATTTATCAGGACAGGACGGTGTTGGCAACAAGACACTTAGCATATGACCCAGCTATTCCACTCCTAGACGTTCACCCAAGAGAGAGAAACAAATATGTCCACACAAAAACCTGGACTCACTAACACATGTCCCATGTGGAGCACTAGCAGCACAGAACGTGGGCTCCAAGTGGCCCTGAGGGCCCCACAGCTCTGGAGGGCGGGGGCTGAGCCAGGCCTCATCCATGCTTCCCTCCAGAAGCATTTTTTGGTTACCAGCCCTCCCTCCTCTCATGCTCTGATTTCCAGTTTCACCTCCAACTCCCAGCCTGGGGGACCAGAGTGCTTACGTGTGTGCATAAGTGTGTGCATGTTGTATAGTGCACACATTGCATGTGTTCATGGGTTTGAATGTGTTCAGCTGCAAGCATTTATATGTCTGGATTGATTGGTTCCATTTCTTGCTCAGTTTTATCCAAAATCCCCCAATTTAAACAACACAATAGGTCCCTGATCGCCTTGCCTAAAAGATGATGAAACAAGTTTTTCAACTCTAAACTCAACATCTGCCTCCAAGGCAAATAGAAAGCTTGGAATCTAAGACAGCCAGTAGTGAGAATGCCCTTCGGGGACAGTTCTGGGCTATACTATCTGGAATAGCAGACTCCTGGGGCAAGAGGGCTGGCCCATCTACTGGGGAACGTTTAACCTGAGACAGCCACAGCAGAGCCCCCCAGAAGGAGAATGCAGCCCAGACAGGGGAAATGCAGAAGAACGCCACCAGCACAACACAGACTGGGAAAAGCAAGTTCCAGATTACATTCAGAATAATTCCTTTTTCATATTATCAGAAATTACTAAATTAGAAAACACACATTTCAGGAATACACAGAGATATGACTCAACTCTATTTTTTCTAGAAAGTAACAGAATAAGGAGCACACAATCCCAATAGTGGCTGCCCCAAGAAGTCCATGGTAAATTATTGATGATGTTCTCATTTCTATGTCAGGCAGTGGGTTCATGGGGGTTTATTATATGAGGATTCTCAGTAATTGGTCATCAGTCAATCAGTAAGAACTGAGCCTCTGTGGACCACTGATGGGAGTGTGTGCTGCAGAACTAATCCAGTTCTGTAAACCCAAGATCCTCCTCGACCTGGGAAACAGGACGTCCACCAATCACATGGGAAAACCCGATCCTCGGTGCTCTGAGGCTTTGGCCATCAGTGGAGGGCGTGCTGGCCTGGAGCAGGAGTGGACAGCCAGTGGGGAAGACCACTCACTCCGCCACAGGAGGGTAAGTCACTGCTGTGGCCACTGCACCTGGGCCCTGGGAGTCTTGGGCGAGACCACATAGGCATCTTTTGCCACACCCTCTACCCGGGACACCACCTTCGGATGAGGACTGTGTGAAGGGATCACTGAAGAGGGTTTAGCAGCAAATTCTATGTAATCAGCAGAATAGACAGCGGGGAGTATGGAAATAAAAAAGAAAGACCAGAAACGCAGAGCTGCATAGGGAAAGCTGGTTTATTTGGCTCTCGTGGGGTCAGAGAATGACTCTAGGACCCTGGACTTCCCTGGGGGGATGGGCAAGGTCAACAAGGGCTCCAGATCATTCTGTCATATTCTCGATCCAGAATTCAGAGGGTTCACTGAGCATGCTTTTCACCTGCCCCGTGTGCAGAAGACCAACTGAGGACTCATCCGGGGAGTGTGCAGGTGTGGCCTCATCTGCACTGGGAGCAGCGGGTCTGGAGATTCATGGTCAGCAGCAGGAAGGGATGCTGCAGGAGATGGGTCTGCAGAGGACGCTGGCGCAGGAGGGCTGGCAGCACCCGGAGGACTGGCAGGAGAGAGCCGCATAAACAACGGGCCTGCAGCTCACAGGCACGCACAGGGAGGACTGGCAGGAGGGGGCCACACACACGATGGGCCTGCAGCTCACAGGCACGCACACGGAAGACTGGCAGCTCACAGGCACGCACACAGCTGGCTTGAAGCTCATGGGCACACACACGGAGGACTGGCAGCCCACAGGCACGCAGCAGGATGCCTGGCAGGGGCTGGACACGCAGCAGGTTGGCTGGCAGCCTGAGGAGCAGCTGGTATGGCACATGGTGGTGTGTGGCTGGATAAGGTCGAGGCAGAAGACAGTGATGTCTGGGGATGGCCTCCCTGGGCAGCCTTTATACCTGGACCCAGGCATCCCCACAACACAGAAGCACGCCTGCCTTCCTTGTTTTTCTTCGTCAGTGCTGTCTCCTGGAGCTTAATTTTCTGTTGTAGGTGTCTCTGGGTTTTGTTTGGCCCTTAGTTTCATGACTAATTGTACCTTCTTCGAGCTCTTGGTATGCTTGGAAACCAGCCAGAGTGTTTTACTGTCTGCATCTGGATTCTTCTTTGTTCTTTAAAATTTTTACCTGAGTTACTTTTGTGAGATTCCAAAAACTCAGATCTCCAGATTTTCCTCTCTGGGTGATGATGGTCCTTAAAAGACAGAAGTTTACACTCCTCCCATGGCTCAGGAAGGCTCCATAGTCAATGTGAGATAGAATAGAGTGTTTCCAGCTGTTCTGTGGATGTCCTGAGAGCTTAGAGCTGGATGAGAGAGTTAGCAGATGGAGAAAGAACACGGCAATCACTTGTCCATAGGATGAGTGGGGACAAAGGGTGTGGGTCACAGAGAACTTGTGAGTGGTGACCATGGATCTTTGTCTTGAGAAATCCTCCTAGTTAAGAACCAAGATGAAACAACACCACTGGCCCTCATGCATGGAGACACAGCTCTCAGGAAATCAAGTTGGTCCAAGTGTGTTCCCAGGGAAGCATGTCAGGCCAGTGAAGTGCCCCGTGGACAGCCACAGCAGGATATGTGTGAGCTGAATATAGAAGGTTCCAAGGGCCAGAATGACTTCTGGGCATGTTCAGCAGAAAGCCATGTGCACCCCGTACTGCAGGGACAGTAGAATCTCTGAGCCTACAGATGTCAACACCAGATCACTTGGAACTTGGCACCATAATAACAGAACGAAGGAAAAAGCCACGTGATCATCTCAATTGATATAGAAAAGGCATTTCACAAAATTCAAGATGCTTTCATGATGACAACAATCAACAAACTAAGAATAGAAGAAAACTACCTTAATACAATACAAGCCATACATGAAAGACCCACAGCAAGCCTCATACCCAATGGTGAAAGACTGAAAGCTTCTTCTCTAATATTGGGAACAAAGCCAGCATAGTACTGGAAATTTTACTAAGAACAACTAGGCAAATTTTTGTAAAAGAAAGAAACAAACAAACAAAAAGCATCCAAATTGGAAAGCAAGAAGTAAAGTTAACTCTGTGATATGATTTTTATATGTAGAAAACTCTAAATATTCCACAAAAAAACTATAAGAAGTAATAAATGAATTCAGCAAAGTAGCAGGATACAAAAGCAAAACACAAAAATCAGTTCTATTTCCATAAACTAACAAGCATAATCTCAAAAGGAAAGTACAATAACAATTCCATTTACAATACATTAAAAAGAATAAAATAGGAGTTAACCAAAGAAGTAAAATAATTGTGTAACAAAAACTACAAAACATTGTTGAAAGAAATTGAAGGCAACATAAATAAATGGAAACACATTCCATGTTCATGAATTGGAAATTGTTAATATGTCCATACTAACCAAAGCAATCTACAGATTCAATGCAATCCCTGTCAAAATCCCAAGGATGTTTATTGCAGAAATAGAAAAACCCATCCTAAAATTTATGTGGCATCTCAAGGGACCCTAAATAGCCAAATCAATCATAAAAAAAGAACAGAGCTGGAGGAGTCACACTTTCTGATTTCAAAACTTACTACAACACTACAATAATCGAAGCTGTGGTACTGGCATAAAGACCAATATATAGACTAATGGAATAGCATAGAGAGCCCAGAAATAAACTCACAACTACAGTCAAATAATTTTTGACAAGGCTGTCAAGACCTTTCAATGAGGGAAGGACAGACTTTTAACAAATGGCAATGGGAAAACAGGATATCCACACACAAAAGATTATTTTTAACCCTTACCTCACACCATATACAAAATTAACTCAAACAGGATCAAAGATAGAGAATCTCAGTACAGAAATCAAAACTATTTTTTAAATGGGAATGCTAGAACTAAAAAGTACAATAGCTGATATTTTAAAATCCACATGATAGACATAAAAGTAGAATAAGATTGAAGAATAGTCCATGATCTTGAAGGCACATCAATAGAAATTATCCAAAATGAAGGAGAGGAAGAAAAAGAATTAAGAAAAATGAAAAGAGCTTCTGAGACATCATTAAACAGCATTGCATATATGTAATATCAAACTATAATCCCAGCACTTTGGGAGGCCAAGGTGGGTGGATCACAAGGTCAAGAGATTGAGACCTTGGCTAACATGGTGAAACCCTGTCTCTACTAAAAATACAAAAATCAGCTGGGTATGGTGGCACGCACCTGTAGTCCCAGTTACTTGGGAGACTGAGGCAGGAGAATCACTTGAACCTGGGAGGCAGAGTTTGCAGTAAGGAGAGATTGCACCACTACACTCCAGCCTGCGACAGAGCAGGACTCCATCTCAAAATAAATAAATAAATAAAAATAAATTTTTAAAAAAATAAAGCACTGGACATTCTCCCCTAAAACACAAAGCTACAAACACAGAGCCTCCTCTGCCCCTCAGCAACAAGGGGGCAAGGGTGAGGGTTTGGAGGGCTGTACTTTCAGTTAAAGAGAGGCTAGCTGTTTGCCTGCAATATAGACTAAGGAGCCTGGAGCCTGGACTGAGGCTGCCAGGTTGAAAACCTGAGACCATGACATCGGGTTCTGGCACACTCCATTGCTACTGGAAACAGCCGTCCCAGTATTCCCACCATCCTCCTCCTCGGCTTATGGATCACCTGCAGGAGGTGGCGCACCTTGTTGGGATGAAAATCCGGGTGCGCTTTGCCCTAGCAGTCCCACCCCGAGAAGTCCTACCCCCAGAACACTAACAAACAGATTGTGGGATGGGTTTGCAAATGTTTTTATCAGCGCCATCTGTAATAGCAGACTCTTGGGAACAACAGGCCTGCCCATCTACTGGAGAGCATTTAACCTGAAGTAGAAACAGCAGAATCCCAGGAAGGAGCCACGCTGGATACAGAATACACCCATGAGAAATGCAGAGGACCCTTGGCAACTCTATACAGAGTGGGAGACATAAGTCTCAGAAAATTACTCAGAATAATTCCCTTTTAATATCACTCAGAACCACTAAGTTAGAAAACACACATTTCAGGAATACACAGAGATATGACTCAACTCCATTTTTTCTAGAAAGTAACAGAATAAGGGGCACACAATCCCAACAGTGGCTGCCCCAAGAAGTCCATGGTAAATTATTGATGATGTTCTAGTTTCTGTCAGGTAGTGGGTTCATGGTTCATAGGTTGGGGGGGGTTGTTAAAATCATTAATAATCGATCAATAAAAAGTGGGCAGGCTCAAGATGGCTGAGTAGAGGCACCTGACACTTGCCTCTTCCACAAAGAAGAACCCAAAAGAGTAAGTAGGTAACAACATTTTGAATGGAACATCTAAGAGAGACACTGGAATTCAGCAGAGAAGTGACAGGAAATATCTGAGGCACAGAAGGAGAGGGAAGGGAGGCAGCTGGCCCAGTTGGAATCAGTCGGGAGCTCACAGAGACTCCCCAGTGCAGGGAAATGGTAAATGAGAGATTCCCAGCTGTCTACATTTCCACCATGGACTCAGCATGGACCTGAAACCCTAGCCATGGGAGAGCCTCTTGTCCTTCACAGGCCCTGAGACTTGCATAGGGATTTGCCAGGATGCTACATAATGGCATTGCTCCAGAGAAAGAGCCCACGCTGGGTCCCACACACCCACCAAGTCCTGAGCAGCCAGCTGTAGCATGGTGCCATTTTGAGAGCCCAGCCCCTAAAAGTCTGCATCCTGCCCTGGGTCCCAACAGATCCTGTATCTCCACATCCCTTCAGCCCTACTGAATCCCACAACCCCCACCAACCCAGAAGGGCTGCAGGAGTGCAATACCAGCTGGACACATCAATAAGGCAGGGGTTACCATGCACTTGCATGTACCCTGAGTACAGGCTTTCCACACCCACCATCATAAATTACCCCACACTATTCACCATAGCCTGTGTCCATGCATACTGTGTGGCCTGGCACTGCACCCCCAGTGCCCAAGCATACCATCTGGGGGCCTGGTGATCCCCCCCACCCAGTCTACCAATGCCGGCCATCTATGCACTCCTCCCAGGGACCTAGGGATGGGCCCACCCAGCCTGCCACTACCACCAGTGCCCACTTGCATATGCCACCTGGGAGCTTGGGGACTGGCTTGCCCAGCCTGTCACAACCACCACTAACATTAGTAAGTGCTTTCTGAGAGCCCAAAGGCTGTCCCACCATTGCTACTACCATCATCCATGTCAGACACACTGCCCAGTGGCCCAACGACCCATCCATGCATCCATCCTACTGCTGCCACTGCTAGCACACAAGCAAGCTGTCTGGAGGCCCAAGAATCAGCCTGCCTGGACATGGTAACACCAGGGCCAGCATATGCTACTCAGGGGACTAAGGACAGGCACATTTGGCCCACTGCTGCCAACACTGGGGCCTGAGATCTGGCTAACCTGGTATTTCTGACCCCAGAAAAGCCTCACCACAGCCTCCACTGACAATCACAGCCAAGCCGCTGAGGAAATCACAAACACTACTGATGCTGTTCATAGCCAAGCAGAGACTAAACTACTGCATGCACCCAGAAGAATAGCTAAAGTATCCCACCCAGCCACCACCATAGACGTATCTTCAGGAAAAAGTCTTCTCATCAAAAAACCAGTCCCCAAAATTGGAAGAAGTGATTGTTATGTCAGATGTGCGGATATCAACATGAGGACTCAAGAAACGTGAAAAAACAAGGAAAATGTCACACCTCCAAAGGGACACAAGAATTGTGCAACAGATTCAAATGAAAAAGAAATGTATGAATTAGCAGAAAAAGAATTCAAAATAATGATATTAAAGACATTCTGTGAGATATAAGAGAACACAGATAAACAATACAAATAAACCGAAAAAC